GACACACCGACAGATGCCACGGCACGCTGATAGCTACGGCCAGTAGGCTACTCCCTAGTGTACCCGTGCTCTTCTACTTCCATCCCACAGGGGTTTAGGCTTACCAGGAGTGAATTATGTCTTTTCTCAAACCTGCTTATGTCGGTCATATCTGTTACAGTAGGCAAAGCATTTACAGGTATGGGTTATACAAGAAAAAAAGTACAAAACTTCCATCAGTGAGTGGATATGTCTTGGCCATACAAAAAATTGGATAAGTATATATTCACATATCTTAGGTTAAAATAAAATATTTAAGGCATGTAGGCTATTTATGATAGTCCCTACTTCCATTGACTTTTTAAAACTAACTGCCCTACCATACCAGTCTAGCTGTTTTAGGTATGGGAGGATCTACTGTAATTATAAACTGCCTAAGAGTTAGAAAGAAAATGAGCAGAGCACAGTGAGAGAGAATAACAAGGGGTTGTGTGTACCTAGTAGATAATGGGATGCTAGATAACAGCAAACAAACAACTTTGGACACCTAAAAAGAAGAAGATTTAATCATATACTTCATAAACTAGTAGTTTCGTGGGAAGTTATATGAGTTAGTCTCTGACAGTGAGTCATAACCTTTTAAATGTAAATACATATGAACCACGGTAATCTAAAAAGTATTAAGGGACTTCCCTGGCGGTCCAGTGGATAAGACTCCGCACTCCCAATTCAGGGGACACGGGTTTGATCCCTGGTCGGGGAACTAAGATTCTGCATGCCCCATGCCACACAGCGCAGGCAAAAAAAAAAAAAAAAAAAAAAAAAAAAAAAAAAAAAAGTATTAAAATCAAGGTATTACCAATACTTGGTGTCAAGTATAAAACATCATACCAGATTGCCATTTGTTGCAATTATGTAAAAAAGAAGATTCCTCCTCTACAGGTTGGATCTATTCTGATATTTTTTCAAGTGAACAAATCTCAAACTTGAGTTCTTTGAATTATGACATTGCTTGAAAACCATTCTTCTAGAAAGGCTACTTGAAGCACAACTATGCAAAGTATGTTAGAAAGACTTGAGAGGCAAAGAGATCAGAACAGAGCAATGGTCCAAGGGAGAGATGATGGCACTTGATTTTGGGAAACGGCTACGGACATGGAGACGAGGGAATGGATTCAAGAGATATTTAAGAGACACACTGATGGTTCATGAAGACCAGGCAGACATGGAGGGTAAGAGAGCACCCTCTATGAAGACTTCCAGATTTCTATCCTGAGTTACTTACCTACAAGTATTCACTTATTACCCCAGAAAATGAAACCCTGTGTGTTATACTCTTTATGTGAAAGTTGGTCTGGTGGGGGTTGGGGGTGATGAGGGTGGTCAAAAGGCACAAACTTCCAGTTATAAAATAAGTCAGTCATGGGGATGTGATGCACAGAAGGTGACTAGACTTAATAATACTGAACTGCATATTTGAAAGTTGCTGAGAGTCGATCTCAAAAGTTCTCACCGCAAGAAAAGAAAAAAAATTGTAAATATCTGTGATGATGGATGTTAACCAGACTTCTTGTGGTGATCATTTCACATTATACACAAATATTGAATCATTATGTCATATACCTGAAACTAATAGAATATTATGTCAATTATATCTCAATTAAAAAAAAAAGTTGGTCCAAGTGAAAGTTCATTATATCAAAATCAACTTGAGACTAAAATGAGAGTACAAAGCATAAGAAAGGCTCAGAGACCAAATAAAAAAACAGCAGTGGTCTCATATAGGTGAAGAGGAAGAATTGGGGGCCATGAATACTCCTGGCCTGGTAACTATTTTTCAATCAAATCATTTTCATTTCAAATGGACGTTTACATTATTCAACTGTGTGGCTCCCAAATCAGTAATTTTTCAAAGAATATATCAATAAGTGAGTCCACAAAATACTAACACTAAACATGCAACATTTAAATAAATTAATTTAGATATAGACTAGATAAACACAAAAAACCCATAGGAAAGAGATCTACTTTTTTCCCATCTCTTTAATAAAACCCTGATTAATTCAACAAATATTTTGTTTATTTAGCAAATATTTATTGAGCTCCTACTACATGTTAGGAATTGTTCTTACTGAAAATTTAGCAAGGCAGGGGGGAACAGATATATATATACACATATGCCACAAAAGCAGGTATCATATGTATTCGTTATCTTATATATGTATAGATATAACAATTACACATATAGAGAGATAAATTTATAATTGCAATATATATTGTCTAATTCATGTAATATATATCTTTAACTTTCTTTTTCTTGGCCACACCACGCGGCATGCGGGATCTTAGTTCCCTGACCAGGGATTGAACCTGTGCCCCCTGCACTGGAAGCATGGAGTCTTAACCACTGGACAACCAAGGAAGCCCCTATATCTTATATATATAAAGTATATATAAGATACTACTCTGCATCTTATATATATCTTTGATATACCATATATAGATAAAGATGCCTGCTCTTATAGAGCTCATATTCCACTAAGTAGAGACAGACAGTAACTAAATATTCACAATATCAGGTTAGTGGCTCCTTAGTGCTTCTGAAGTCTCAGATAACAAGGATCCAAAGTTTTCTAAAATTGGGCTCCTATTCAACTCTCCAACTTTATTGCTCATGTTCCTACACTCACTCACAAAATTATAGAACTCACTGATCTAAATGTGGTCCTGTATTCTCTCAGTTTGCTACCATTCTCTCCATCCAGAAACCATCACCACTTATCTCCAAGTGTTACTAATTCTGCCAAGGCTCAGCTCAAGAGGCACTGCTTCCTATAAGGAGATACCTCCCAGCCAAAAGTGACCTTTCTCCTATGAACCCCTAGGGTACTAACGACTATGGTGATACTGACTACACTGGGCTGTGCACTAAAAACTCTTTGTCACATCTGACTAAATGCTTTCACACTCATGGTGGGCTTCATGAGTGTGTAACCTGTCTTGTGCTTGGTTTAATGCTTTAGTGTCAACCATCTTGAAATGCTTAATAAATTGTGAACAAGGAGTCCTGCATTTTCATTTTATACTGGACCCTGAAAATTATGTAGCCAGTCCTGTTCATGTTAAACATTGCATGCAATCCTCAGTCCAAAAAAACAAAACAAAACAAACAAACAAAAAAAATCCCCCCCAAAATCCCCAGAAAGTAAGCAGGAAAGGTATTGTAATTTTCATTTTTAAAAAAAGAGACCTTATGTCCATAAATTCTGGGTACAGGCTGCTAAACAGGGATAACTGACCCTCCTCTCTGGATTAAGAAGATAAAAATAAGCCAAGTCAGCTCAAAAATAAAACTTTGTGTATATGGTCAACTGATCTTCACAAGGGTGCCAAGACCATTCAGAGGGGGAAAGGACAGTCTAGCCACATCAACAAATGGTATTAGGAAAACTGGATTTCCACATACAAAAGAATGAAGTTGGATCGTTATCTTACATCACACACAGAAATTAACTCTAAATGGATTAAAGACCTAAAACTATACAACTCCTAGATGAAAACATAGGAGGAAAGCTTTCATGGCATTAAACTCAGCATGATTTCTTGGACATGACACCAAAAGCACAGGCAAAAAAGGAAAAATATGCAAATGGCACAATATCAAACTTAAAAACTTTTGAGCATCGAAGGACATATCAACAGAGTGAAAGGCAACCTACAAAATGGGAGAAAATATGTGCAAATCGTATATCTGATAAGGGGTTAATATCCAGAATACATAAAGAATACTTATAGTGCAACAACAACAAAAAATCAAATAACTCAAAAAATGGGCAAAAGATTTGAACAGACATTTCTCCAAAGATGCTCAACATCATAGGAAAAGATGCTCAACATCACTAATCATAAGAGAAATGCAAATCAAAACCACAGTGAGGGCTTCCCTGGTGGCGCAGTGGTTGAGAGTCCGCCTGCGATGCAGGGGACACGGGTATGTGCCCCGGTCCGGGAAGATCCCACATGCCGCGGAGCGGCTGGGCCCGTGAGCCATGGCCGCTGAGCCTGCGCGTCCGGAGCCTGTGCTCCGCAACGGGAGAGGCCACAACAGTGAGAGGCCCGCGTACCGCAAAAAAACAAAAAACAAAAACACGGTGAACTATCACTTCGCCATCATTAGGATGGCTACTATAGAAAAAATAGAAGATAACAAGTGTTTGTAAGGATGTGGAGAACCTGGAACCAACTGCTGGTGGGATTTTGAAATAGTGCAACCAGTGTGGAAAACAGTATGGTAGTTCCTCTCAAAATTAAAAAAAGAACTACCATATGATCCAGCAATCTCACTTCTGGGAATATATCCAAAATAACTGAAAGCAGGGACTCAAAAGAACTATTCATACAACCCATGTTCATAGCAGCAAATATTCACAGTAACCAGGAGGTGGAAACAACTCAAATGTCCATCAATAGATGAATGGATAAACAAAATGTGGTATATACATACAATAGAATATTATTCACCCTTAAAAAACCAGGAAATCCTGTTACATCCTACAATATGAATGAACCTGGAGTACATATTATGCTGAATGAAATAAACCAGTCACAAAAAGACAAATACTGCATGATTCCACCTATACGAGGCATCTAAAGTAGTCACATTCATAGAAACAGAAAGTAGAACTGTGCTTACCAGGAGCTGGGGGGAGGGTGGAAAGGGGAGTTGTTATTTAGTGGGTACAGAACTTCTCATGTATAAAATGAAAATGTTCTGGAGATCTGTTTCACAATAATGTAAGTAAACCTACTACTGAAATGTACACTTAAAAATTGTTAAGATGGTAAATTTTATGTTATGCATTTTTACTACACACACAACACACACACACACAGAGTCAAGTCAGAAATCTAATTACATTCTTTGTAGCATTACTTTGTGTTAAAATAACCTCTCGGGGTATATGGACCACAATATAAGCAACAAAATATAAAAATATCTTATATTCAGAAAACTCAGTTACCTGCAACAAATCCAACTACCAGATCTTTTGCAGTAGTAGAATGTTGACCTTTGACCCAGACTGCTTTGAGGCTATTAAAAGTGTAGAAATAGACAAAATTGGAGCAGCAGAGACTGGAGATAACTGGAAACCACCCTCGATATGGTGCCAGGCTAGGGGAAGAACACAATAAGCAAAGTAAAAATGCTGAACAAAAGGCACTAGAAATGAGAGTCCTAGAAAAGGCTGATCATCATTCACATATTCTCAAAGCTCACTCCTACACTACAATGTACTCCAAACTGTACACATATTCTACATTCTGAGGATGCCCAAACCAAGAATTCTTTTCTAGCGTTAATGATACCAAAGAAACAACATACATTCTATGACTGATTTATTGATTTCCCCCCTCGATTTCCTTTAGTAAATTGCTATGTAAAATTAAAGACAATTTCCTCATGGCTGTTAGTTAATATAGCATCATTCACATTTCATTACAGGGCAAGAATATTTAAAATGAAGTAAATATAGAAGTGCAAAAAAAAAAAAAGTGATGGGGGCATGTTATAAGGGCACAGGAACCAGACTGAAGGAGCTCACACTGGCCACACCTGGGACAATTTGAGCACCAAAATAATTAAGTAATTAATTGTAAACCATTGAATTTCTGAGTCTGTATGATACTAAATTATTTCCTCATAGACTGCTTATAGTTGCAAAAGAGGAAAAATAAAATTATTCAGTGCTAACTTGAATCTAAGAAATCATAATTAACCAATGGAGGGCAAGTAGACAATATGTGACTCCAATGTGACATCCTGAGGAGGACACAATTTCAACTATACATTATTCTGGCCAAGAATGCATAGACTCAATCTAATCATGAAGAAACATGAGGCAAACTTAAAGTGAGAAAAATTTTATTTAAGGAAAAATAAGGGGAGAAGGTCCACATCTTTGAAAATGTCAGTCGTAGGGGTAAGGGGCTTTGATGTATGGTATGTAACTTACTCTCAAATTAATTCTGAAAAAATCTGTGTGTGGTGTGTGTATGTGTCTGTGTAGTAAAGAAAGAAGGAGGGAGTGGGGAAGGGAGGTAGAAAGCATGAGCACAAACGGAAGAGTGTTAACAACAGGTCGATCTGGTTAAAACACATACTGGTATTCTTTGTACTATTTTAGTTTTGCAACTTTTTGTAAATTTGAAATTATTTCCAAATAAAAAGTTTTTTAAAAGGTACACAGGTCTGAATGCATCTGATAGAATGAGCTGAACAACTATTACCTTCTTCAGTTTATTGTTCATTGGTTTCATGTAAGACGCCATGATCAAGAATCAAAATGGCCAACCACAGAACTTTAAGGAAATGAAAACAACTATGTATTTACTTACAACTCAGGCAATTACCAATTCACAACACTGTGAGGCTTTGAGAATGGATAGAAAGTGAGTGTAGGTATGATGGACGCCCAGGAATCTCCTAATGAGCTGCTCTACCTAACAAGGATGAACAAGGTAGTACTCACAGGCCTTCTTCTTTAATGATCTCCAGGAGCACCATGTGTGTCGTTTTGGACTTTCTTTTCTCATCAACTACAAGACCAAAGAGTACATGTTTAAACTAAATCCTTTGAGAATTGTTATCTTCAGCATCAGCAAATTTCACTGAAACGCCATTTACCTCACATGAGCAGTCTCTCACCCTATTCTTTGCGCTCCCTAGTTTGCCTCAGAACTCAATGATCCTCCTCTGTTCCCATGTGCTAAATTTCCTACTATTGATTCCATGGTTTCATCTGTTATTTATGAACCATAAAGCATTTTAATTCAATACCTAATTTCCAAAGTAAAAAATGTAACAGGAGAAATTTATTTCTTATATTTCATAGGGCTCTCTAGGTTTTTTTCAAAGTTATATATTCTCCTTTTTATCTTAATATCTTATAAAGTAGAGAGGAAATAAATTACCATTTCCCTTTCAGAGAAGAGGTTACAGACACAAAGCTGTGAAGGACACATGTAGTTGGCAGCAGAGCCGGGATTAAAATTCAAGTTTACAAAGTTTTAACCTTGTGCTCTGTTCCCTAATCTAAAAAAATAAAAGGTCTCAAAAAGATGGGAACTCTGCTTTTCTTGGCATTCTAAATAAAACAAAACGTACCTTAATTAACTTCAAATTTCCTACCCACATCTGAAGACTATTTTGAAAACATAAAAATAGGAAAATGAACCGATTTCTTAAGAATTAAAATTGGTACCTTTATGGCTCATGGGATGGCAAATTAGGAAACCCCTGTACAAGGCAATCTAACAATAACTATCAAAATTACAAACATTTGCCCTTTGATTAAACAATCCTATTTCTGGGAATTTATCTCATAGAACTTACAGAAACAAATTAGCATATGGGGAATTCCCGGGTGGTGCAGTGGTTAAGAATCTGCCTGCCAATGCAGGGGACGCAGGTTCGAGCCCTGGTCCAGGAAGACCCCACATGCTGTGGAACAACTAAGCCTGCGAGCCACAACTACTGAGCCTGCACTCTAGAGCCCGCGAGCCACAACTACTGAGCCTGCATGCTGCAACCACTGAAGCCTGCGCGCCTAGCGCCCATGCTCTGCAACGAGAAGCCACCTCAATGAGAAGCCCATGCACTGCGACGAGAAGCCCATGCACCGCAATGAAGAGTAGCCCCCGCTTGCCACAACTAGAGAAAGCCTGCACGCATCAACAAAGACCCGATGCAGCCAAAAATAAATAAATTAATTAATTAAATTTATTTTAAAAAATCTAGAAACAATAAATGCTGGAGAGGGTGTGGAGAAAAGGCACTGCACTGTTGGTGGGAATGTAAATTGATACAGCCACTATGGAGAACAGTATGGACGTTCCTTAAAAAACTAAAAATAGAACTGCCATATGACCCAGCAATTCCACTACTGGGCATATACCCTGAGAAAACCATAATTCAAAAAGATACATGTACCACAATATTCATTGCAGCACTATTTACAGTAGCCAGGACATGGAAACAACCTAAATGTCCATCAACAGATGAATGGATAAAGAAGGTGTGGCACATATATACAATGGAATATTACTCAGCCATAAAAAGGAATGAAATAGAGTTATTTGTAATGAGGTGGATGGACCTAGAGTCTGTTATACAGAGTGAAGTCAGAAAGAGAAAAATACCGTATGTTAACACACATATATGGAATCTAAAAAAATGGTACTGATGAACCTAGTGGCAGGGCAGGAATAAAGACCCAGACGTAGAGAACGGACTTGAGGACATGGGGAGGAAGGGGAAGCTGGGACGAAGTGAGAGAGTAGCATTGACATATATACACTTCCAAATGCAAAATGGACGGCTAGTGGGAAGCTGCTGCATAGCACAGGGAGATCAGCTTGATGCTTTGTGATGACCTAGAGGGGTGGGAGAGGGAGGGTGGGAGGGAGTCTCAAGAGGGAGGAGATATGGGGATATATGTATACATATAGCTGATTCACTTTGTTGTATAGCAGAAACTAACACAACATTGTAAAGCAATTATACTCCAATAAAGATATTTTAAAAATGCTGTTAAGTGAAAAATGTAAGATATGGAACAGTGTGAAAAGTATGCTTTTTAAGTAATAAAGAGAGGAAATTGAGAATATATATTATTTGCTTGTTTTTCTACATAAAGAAACTCTCAGGGCTCTTTGAGAGACTAATAGAGACATTATCTACAGGGGAGAGAAAAGGAGACAGTGTAGAGTGAGATATTTCACTGTACTGCCTATCTTTTTATGTATTTTGGTTTTTGAGTCATATAAAATTATTACCTTTCCAAAATCTCTAAAATTAATTAAAAATAGTGGCCATGAAGGATTTTAATATAGGAATTAGTTTATTCAAAGCTAATCTTACTCTTATCTCTTCATCTAAGTTCTGGCATAGGTTTATAATTTAAAGTTGAAAAATACTGAGGAAAGAACAAGCATAAGTTACAGAAAGTTGCATAGCCCTGTAAAGTGAAAGAGGGAGACTAGGACTACGTACCCACGTGAGCAGTGACAATGGTATCTGGCTCCACCATGTTTCCTATTCTCTGTTCTCTTTCCAGAAAATCTACCCCCAGTAAAAAAAAAATCTCTACATTGTGCCTTTCAAAAGTCGTATTGTTTATTAGAATGAACTGTAATGATTCAAAATTACTAATGCAAGCCCACTCAGGTCTCTCAGATTAGAAAATGGCTGAGGCTATGACTCATTCACAAACATCAAAAATAAAAGTATTTAAAGTTAGTGAAAATGGACAACAGATTTCTAATGAAATGGGAAATCCTATGTTAACTTAGAACTTAGTAGAGAAGTATGTTTGCTTCCTGATACCAAATGAACAGGAATATGATGACAATAAGATACTTACCTTGAAGTCGAAGTCGAGCTGTATCCAAGGGAAAAAATACTGTCATTGCTGTCATGCTTCCCTGAAAAGTTTGAAAAGCCTTTAGCCATTACAGTATCACAAAAATAATGAGCCACAACTTTTAAATGAACAAAAAGTTCATTATTATCAATGGGTCAGATGAAATTTTCAGTGAACAAATATACAGAATATTTTTATCTATTGGGATCATTAGTGTTCAAACTTCTGTAGTTATATACTTAAACAGACGTATTTAATTTTCCAGAAGAAATCTCTTTCTCTCTGATATTGAAAAAGTAAATGTAGTGGGTCCCTGGAGATGACAAACTTAGGGATTTACAACCTAGGACACATGTCAAAGACAGCAGGTAAATGGATTTTTAACCTTTTACTGGTCAGCTACTGCTCCTATGCTCTCCTCTGATACCCCCAGAAACCAAAAAATCTAGTGATCAAACAGATCTGTATTTCTATACTCTCTGCTTAATCAATATATTCACCACAATATAAGAATCATATTGTTCTTTAAAATCATATTGTTCTTTAAAACAGTTCTGTTTGCTTATGTTTTAAAAAAGAGGGACAGGGCTTCCCTGGTGGCGCAGTGGTTGAGAGTCCGCCTGCCGATGCAGGGGACACGGGTTCGTGCCCCGGTCCGGGAAGATCCCACATGCCGCGGAGTGGCTGGGCCCATGAGCCATGGCCGCTGAGCCTGCGCGTCCGGAGCCTGTGCTCCGCAAAGGGAGAGGCCCGCGTACCACAAAAAAAAAAAAAGAGGGGCAATATCTTTGCTAAAAATTCTATAAATAATTTATCCAAGATAACATGACAAAAATTATGACTGGAAAAAAAAAAGAAACCAACAACCAGTCTTTTCATTCATAAGGCCCTGTGACAGATAAAAACCACAAGTATACAGTTAGGGATAAAATTATATGCATAATATCTCCAGGTGGGTTTATGGTTCTCAACCTAGATGCAGGCCCAGTGGTATATATTCTCAGGCATAAGTTCATGTTTTAAGCTACTGATAGAATAACAGTAACATACATATTTTTATCATGATAACAATGGGAAACTAGGTCAACTTTATAGATAAGAATAAAAATGTGCTAGGTCTCTTATCTATTTAAATAGATCAGCCTATTTGACAAGGAAGAACACTGTATTGTCCCATTAGTTACTCTTCGAAACTCAGATTAAATGTTAACACCCTACCAATCAGGTTCCTCTGTGTTCCCACAGCACTTGTTTATATGTCTCTTAGAGCACTCATATTGCAGTGAAACCTAACTCTTCCACCGGATTGTAAGAATATCCATTTATCTCTTGGTATACCATAGATTCTTAAATAAATGTTTATTAAATTCACTCTACTTTCAGTTATTTATACAACTTAGATGGCTCCCACATAAATGATCTTCCCTAGTAAGAACTAGATAATACTTAATATTTCAAGAAACACTGGATCTGTAAAGGTTTACAGTTTACAAATCTATTCTTCCGGCATCCTTGCTCACCTTACAGGCAATTTCCAAGAAAAATGGGGGCTGCAAAGCTGGAGAACGCTTATCAAGGTTATTAAGGCCTTTACTTCCTATCACGTGGTACTAGCACACCTATGCAAAAAAGTCCTGCCTGGAAACTACTTTTTCATACAATTGGATTACCTCCATCCCTCTTCCCTGTCAGCTTTAAATAGACACCTGAAGTTTCCTAACTTAGAAGACCCTGCCCTACCTACCTTGAAATCTTAAAGTACATTTTACACCAAGATAAAGAGAACAGTCTGTCCAAAGAGCTCAAAGATCTATTACCTCCTCAAGGACTAGCATAAAAAACTCAAATCTGTAAAAATAAAAAACACTTAAAATTGTATTAGTACTGGAAAGACTGGATCCAGATGGTGAACTGAAAACCTACCATTGCCTCCTCCCCATTCCAATCACTAATAATGAGAGAAGATTTATATATAAAAGTGTTGTGTAGAAAAACAAAAGGGGTCTGAATGGTGGACCAGAAATTAAAAGGATAGCAGAGTGAGGCTGTTCTGAAAGAAGAAATCACAGACCAAAATGCACAGACAATAGCTATGGCAGGCAGAAAAATGGCCCCCTGAAAGATGAACACATTCAAATCCACAGTACTTGTGAACATGTTACATTACATGGCAGGTTGCTAATTGGCTGATCTTAAAATAAGGAGTTTAGTCTGGATTTTCTGAGTGGGTCCTTAAAAGGGTCCTTAAAAGTGGAAGAGTAGGTCTTCCCTGGTGGCACAGTGGTTAAGAATCCGCCTGCCAATGCAGGGGACATGGGTTCGAGCCCTGGTCTGGGAAGATCCCACATGCCGTGGAGCAACTAAGCCCGTGCGACACAACTACGGAACCTGCGCTCTAGAGCCCGCGAGCCACAACTACTGAGCCCGCGAGCCACAACTACTGAGCCCGCACACCTAGAGCCTGTGCCCTGCAACGAGAAGCCACCACAAAGAGAAGCCCACGCACCGCAATGAAGAGTAGCCCCCGCTCGCTGCAACTAGAGAAAGCCCGCGCGCAGCAACCAAGACCCACCCAACGCAGCCAAAAACAAATAAAATAAAAAGTGGAAGAGTAGGTGGGAGTGAGGCAACGGAGGACTCAACCCATCATGGCTGGCTTTAAGATGGACAAAGGGGCCACTAGCCAAGGAATGTGGGCAGCCTCTAGAAGCCAGAAAAAGGAAATGGATTTTCTCCTAAGCGCCTCCAGAAAGGAACATGACCCAGCTGACACCTTAATTTTAGCTCAGTGAGCTGTACATCAGACTTCTGACCTACAGATATTAAACTTGTGTTGTTTTAAACCATTCAATCTGGTAACCTGTTACAACAGCAATAGAAAACTAATAAAACAGGATTACTACAAATGGTGGGGACCAGCCCGGGGAAGCAGAAGGGAGCTCTGGGGTGACTTTCCGGTTGACTAGCTGGTACCGTGACAACCACAGCCAGGCAGTCCCCACCCCAGGCAGTGACTGTGAATATGGAAACCTGAACTTGCCTGAGGTGAGCAGAAATGCTGAGACCTAGCCACTGTCACACCTTGCCAGAACACATGCCACCTTTATACCACAATTCCTGGAAGCCGCCAGCAGTAAACAAGTACAGGCAGGGGGAGGGGCGCGTAGTGGCAAGGAAATAAAAAGCTTACTAGTTTTACCCTATTTAAGAAGAGGATATACACATACACACATGAATTTATTCTAGGTTTTGGCAAAAAACCTAAGTTTAAATGTGAGAGTTAAAGATGTAAGGGTGAAATGGGGGTTTCCACTGCCAGCAATATGCTGGCATACACCACACACTACAAAATACCTAGAACTGTTAACTAAAATATAAAATATTTTAAAAATTTAAAAATAAAATATAACACGTACCCTTTAAATGATTAGCTGAACCTCCTTGGGGCCACAAAGAAGAGTAGAAACTCATAGGGTTAAGCAGCCTCCTTGGTGTTCATTGAGAGGATTTTTTTTGCGAGTCTAAGTGATCAAGGGGCTTTGTTATTATTTTTTTTTTAACTGAAGTGGAATTCCCATAACATAAAATCGACCACTTGAAAGTATACCATTCAGTGACATTTAGTAAGTACATTCATAATATTGTGTAACCACCACTTGTATCACGTTCCAGAATATTTTCATCACCCCGAAGACAACCCTGTGCCTGTTAAGCAGGCATGCCCCACTTCCCCCTCCCCTCGGCCCTGACAACCACTAACCTGCTTTCTGTCTCTACAGATGTACATATTCTGGACATTTCATATAAAAACAATCGTGCAAGATGTGACCTCTTGTGTCTGGCTTCTTTCACTCAGCACAGTGTTTTCAAAGCTTATCCACTTTGTAGTGTGTATCAGTTCTTCTTTCTTTTTTATGGCCGAGTAAAATTCCCTTGTATGTATAATATGACATTTTGTTTATCTATTCAAAATGCTTTGTAATGAGATAGAGGTAATGGTTGCACAACACTGTGAACAGACTAAATACCACTGAACTATACAATTTTAAATGGTTAATTTTGTTATGTGAGTTACATCTCAATTTTAAAAAAAATTTAATCCTCACAACAACCATATGAGGTAAGTACTATTATCCTCTCCATTTTATAGATGAGGAAAAGATACTAAGAGGTTTTGCAACTTTTCTCAAGTCATACACTTTGCAGGTGGCAGAATCAGTATTTGAACGTAGTCCGTCTGGCTCCAGAGTCCATACTTAACAAGTGTTGTAATTAAAACTTAAAAATTTACTAATATAGAACTAAAAATTAGCTTTAAAATAAAGGCAATATAGTAATATGGGATCTACTATGTGGCAAAAAAAAATTTTTTTTTATGGACTAGTCTGGAAACCCAGCAGAGAGCCTGGCATAGCATAAGCCCTGAACTTGTTAATAAATGTATGACTGTATCCACCTACATATAAACTTAATATCTATGAGAAAGTGTATTGCAAATGCTAAAGGTAAATTTAGAACATAGCTATTCTGTACATTGGGGATTTGCTATATTTGTCTCCTGACCAAGCAAACACACAGATAGATGACTATTTTCGTAAGCAGCTGTTACCTGAAGGAAAATATTTATTATATATGCAAGTCTTATGCTAAGCTATACAATCATATGATTTTTCAGAATTTGAATTAAATTCCTCTTTTCATAAATACTCAGTGTTGTTTTTTTTCTCTAGGACTGCCTGTTTACTTATATAAAATTAGAAGGCAAAAAATAGTAAGAAGGTAACTACAAGATACAATACTGTTGTGCCAGAGAGGCATACAAATCAACCCATTATTGTGAGTCCCACAGAATTCTAACCATCTGAGTGGGAGTTCTATTGCTGACAACAATTACAATTTAAAAGACTCTATTTCCAGAGAAACAACCTTCTTGTATCTCACCAAAATCAAACATTTTTAGTCACGACATTCTACCATCCCCTACTGGCATTTAACCATTTGGTGCTGGGAAAGCAAATGAATTCCTACACCGCACTGGCACCTGGAGCTGGAAAATCCTTC